ACTAACTAACTAACTATAACTAACTAACTAACTAACTAACTAACTAACTAACTACTAACTAACTACTAACTAACTACTAACTACTAACTAACTAACTAACTAACTAACTACTAACTAAACTAACTAACTAACTAACTAACTACTAACTACTAACTACTAACTAACAACTAACTAACTAACTAACTAACTAACTAACTAACTAACGTAACACCGACTAACTAACTACTAACTAACTACTACTACCTCAACTAACTAACTAATAACTAACTAACTACGAACGCAACTAACTAACTAAACTACTACTAACTAACTACTACTATAAAACTAACTAACTAAATACTAACTAACTACTAACTAACTACTAACTAACTAAACTAACTAACTAACTAACTAACTACTACTAACTAACTAACTAACTACTAACTAACTAACTAACTAACTAACTAACTAACTATGACAAGACGGCGCCATTTAAGAAAACTTTTAACTACATGGGACCTCAGTCCCCATTTGCCCCTTAATTACACCCTACACCTCTGTAGTGTGGAGGGTTTGCGCTGATATTTATAACACCATATTTTTATTACACCCACCTTCAAGTACATCAATCGGCTCAGAATTAGTTTCTGAGTCGATTAAGCTATTTTCACATACTTTTCTATTGGGGACGCAGTCTATTGAAAATGGCCCTATTTGTATTCCCCGAATATTTTTATATAATTATTTTAAATGTTGTAGAATCTCTACAAAAAATCGGTAAATCTTAGTTTTACATATATATAATTCTAAATAATACTGTCAATTTTCGTAATGATCTCGGGCCTCATATGAGTCTAGCCCCCATACAAAGTCCTCTTCAGAAAATGACTTGAAGGTGAAAATTCACTTTTAAACATTAGTAACACCATGAAACTGTGCATAAATAATTTTAATGTCATTTTAAAACGCTCTGCTAAAATTTATACGGATAAGACCATATTTACCTTTGCCCCCATATAACGCCCCTTTTAGAAAATCACTTTTTTTTTGGCAACAAATTGTTAAAGTATTCCGGAATTAAGGTAAAATGTTTTATTATTATATAGCAATAATCGACATTTTTAACATTTCGGATTCAGTGCTACTATATATATTATGTGTACTTTAGGATCGGAGTTAAAGGTTTGTTGGTGATAATCTAGTGGACTTTATTTGAAGAAAAATCCTAAGAATGATTCCGGCAGTCAAGGCATTATTAACCGAAGAAGTTAAGACTAAGACATTATCAGATTGGAAGAAAGCTATAATCGGTGGAAAGCCGCTCGGTAATGTAAGAGCTAATCTATTTCTTATCAGGGGCAAGGGACTTTTAAATATTTATAAAATTTAGGCAAATTTATACTTAAAAGTTTTAAATGTTTCCTCTCATTTCCTTAACAAAAAAGGATATTTTTCCTAAATCCTAAAAGACAACAATAAAAAATAATTATGTGTTGACTAAGCAAATTAACGAAATATAATATAAAATAGAACTTTAAGGCACAGCATGACTTCAAACACTATTAAAATCGGAATTTTTTTGTAGTAAAATTGAAAAACTCTGGGGGCTTAAGAAAGAAAATGAAAAACAGCAGGGAAAAAAAGTGAACAGCTAAATCCCGCCCCATGAAACAAACAATAAATAACAAAACTATAAAAAAATAGTACTGAAATGAAATGAAAGCAAACAATTATTGTTAACTCAAAGTCAAATAAAATTAAACTCACATTAAAATTGCTCTTTTAGTGGGTTTTATAGAAAAAAAGCTATGAAAAAAAGCACTCAATTGTATTAATAAAGTTGCCAGATAGTTGAGAAAAAATATTAAGTAATAAAAAGCAAATGTGAAAACTTATTTAAATTTCTAATTCAGCTGATGTAAATTACAAATTTTTTAAATAATTTTTAATATTTGTTTAAAAATTTTATAATTTTAATGGAAATTTCTATATTCAGCTAGCTGAATTGCATTTTTTTCAAAATTTACTTAAAAATTTTATAGTTTATATAAAAATTTGCTTATTCAGCTAGCTGAATTGCAACTTTTCATTGTTTTATTAAATATTAGGTAATTTTTATTTAAATTAGCTTATTCAGCTAGCTGAATTACAATATTTTTAATAATTCTATAATATTTCATTAGAAAATTTGTAATTTTTAAAATAACTTGCATATTCAGCTAGCTGAATTGTAATATTTTTAATAATTTTGTATATTTTGCTTACAATTTTATAATTTTGTTTAATATTTGACTGAAAAATTAATAATTTTTATTAAATTCTTTTGATTAAACTAGCTGAATTACAATATTTTTAATAATTTTTTAGAAAAATTTTATGATCTCTATTAAAAATTTCATATTCAGCTAGCTGAATTGTAATTTTTCTAAATATACTTAAATGTTTAGTTTGAAATATTATAATTTTTATTAAAATTTGTTTATTTAGCTAGCTGAATTACAAAATTTTTTTATAATTTTATAATATTTGGTTAAACATTTTATAATTTATATAAAAATTTCCATATTCAGCTAGCTGAATAGTAATTTTTCTAAAGATACGTAAATGTTTAGTTTGAAATATTATAATTTTTATTAAAATTTGTTTATTCAGCTAGCTGAATTACAATATTTTTAGTAATTCTTTAACATTTAGTTAAAAATTTTATAATTTCTATAAAAATTTCCATATTCAGCTAGCTGAATTGCCATGTTTTCAAAGATACTTAAATATTTGGTTAAAAATTTTGTAATTTCTATAAAAATTTCCCTATTCAGCTAGTTTTCTAAAAATACTTTAATGGTTTGTATGAAATATTACCATTTTGATTAAAATTTACTTATTCAGCTAGCTGAATTACTATATTTTTTATAATTCTATATATTTAGTTAAAAATTTTATAATTTATATAAAAATTTCCATATTCAGCTAGCTGAATAGCAATTTTTTCAAAAATACTTAAATATTTGGTTAAAAATTTTGTAATTTCTATAAAAATTTCCCTATTCAGCTAGCTTAATTGCTTGTTTTCTAAAAATACTTAAATGTTTAGTTTGAAATATTATAATTTTGCTTAAAATTTGCTTATTCAGCTAGCTGAATTACTATATTTTTTATAATTCTATATATTTAGTTAAAAATTTTATAATTTATATAAAAATTTCCATATTCAGCTAGCTGAATAGCAATTTTTTCAAAAATACTTAAATATTTGGTTAAAAATTTTGTAATTTCTATAAAAATTTCCCTATTCAGCTAGCTTAATTGCTTGTTTTCTAAAAATACTTAAATGTTTAGTTGAAATATTATAATTTTGATTAAAATTTACTTATTCAGCTAGCTGAATTACAAATTTTTTTATCATTTTATAATATTTGGTTAAAAATTTTATAATTTATATTAAAATTTCCATATTCAGCTAGCTGAATTTACATGTTTTCAAAGATACTTAAATATTTGGTTAACAATTTTATATTTTCTATAAAAATTTCCATATTCAGCTAGATGAATTGCTAGTTTTCTAAAAATAATGTTTTGTATGAAATATTATAATTTTGATTAAAATTTGTTTATTCAGCTAGCTGAATTACAATATTTTTAGTAATTCTTTAACATTTAGCTAAAAATTTTATAATTTTTAAAAAAATTTCCATATTCAGCTAGCTGAATTGCCATGTTTTAAAAGATACTTAGATATTTAGTTAAAAATTGTATAATCTCTATTAAAAATTTCATATTCCGCTAGTTGAATTGCTTGTTTTATAAAAACAAAAATTAAAATTTTATAATTTTGATTAAAATTTGCTTATTCAGCTAGTTGAATTACAATATTTTTAATAATTCTTTAGCATTTAGTTAAAAATTCTATAATTTATATAAAAATTTCCATATCCAGCTAGCTGAATTGCCATGTTTTCAAAGATACTTAGATATTTAGTAAAAAAATTTATAATTTCTATAAAAATTTCCCTATTCAGCTAGCTTAATTGCTTGTTTTCTAAAAATACTTCAATGTTTAGTTAGAAATATTATAATTTTGCTTAAAATTTGCTTATTCAGCTAGCTGAATTACTATATTTTTTATAATTCTATAATATTTAGTTAAAAATTTTATAATTTATATAAAATTTTCCATATTCAGCTAGCTGAATAGTATTTTTTTCAAAGATACTTAAATATTTGGTTAAAAATTTTATATTTTCTATAAAAATTTTCTTATTCAGCTGGCTGAATTGCAAATTTTTTTTAATAATTATATAATTTTTTTGCAAAAATTTCAAAATTTTTATTAAAATGTGCTTATTCAGCTAGCTGAATAACAATTTAAGAAAATTTAAAAGAAACTTGAGGAGAATTCAGCAAAAATTCAATACAAAGTTTAGTCTGGCAGCATTATAATGAATTTACTTTATTACACTTATACTAACACACCCAAAGCTGATGATGAGCAAAGAGAGTATAACTCTTTCTGTTTTTTTTGTTTTGCACAAAGAGCAACAGTGATAGTTAACGAGCAAATCAGCCATTCAGCCAGCTGTTAGCCCACCACCTCTACAACAACGACAACAACAAACATGTGGATGAGAGTGATAATGTATTGAGGTACTCGTTTATGAAAAAGCAACTCGTTTTTTATAATTCGTATATGATTTACAGCTGGTAATTACAATTGGGGCGGCAGACGACAGGCGACTTTAAGGAATGAAAAGATGTGTGGATGATGATACGAATGAGAGAGAAAAATTGTGTGGTAACGATCTTGTTAACCTTTTGTTGTTTCTGTTATAAAATGCTAGAAAACTTTTTGTCGCGCTGTCGTGGTTAACGCTTTAATTGTAATCAAGTAGTTATACGTGTTTTTAGCATGTTTGTTAAAGGCCCCTTCAAAAATATGTATGTTGGTTTTGTGTGAATGTTTGACAAGCTAAAGCTTGAGCAAATTACACGCGAATTTATGCGAATCAGTTTAAAAGTTACGGTTAATACGCAATCGTTAAAAAACGTTAACAATAAATTTCATTAATTAATTTAACGGATTATAAAGTTAAAAAGAAAAAAATTAAAAGAAAAATTAACATATGAAAGGAAATATAAAAAATCTAAAGAATTTTGTAGATTTAATGTTTATAAAAAAAACCCGACGGCTTTTTAAAAAATATATATTTCATTTCCCGACAAAACGGCACTGATTAACCAACATTCGCTATTTAAAATGTCTGAAATGTAATTGAAAATGTCAATTAATTGTCAGTAATTACAGACCATTTGTTTGGCAAACAAGAAATAAACAAATTAATTAAAATTTATAGCTTTTTAACAAGAGAGAAAAAAAATATTAAAACATGCAAATTATTATGGCAATAAATTAAGTATTAATTACCAGCAAAAGTTTCAAATAGTCCACAAAACACACTTAATAAGTCTTAGAAAAATTCAAAAAAAAAAAAAAAAAAATTTGAAAAAAATTCTAAAACAATTTTTTTTTGTTCTACACAACAGCCTGCTGTCAGCACAAGTGTCAAATTTATTTATATCATGTTCTAAAAAAAATAAAATAAAACAAAAAATCTAAAAAATTAAAATAATAAATAAACAAAATGTTGTTAATAAATTTTAAAATATTTCCAACAAATTTTATAAAAAATAAGTAAAATTTAAAAAGAAAATAATTTTCTAAATAAAATGTTTCATATTTTACTAGAAATTTTTGTAAAAAAGTGAAATTATTATAATTAAAAAAAATACTTATTTTTTCTAAATCCTGTTCCATTTAAACACGGTTAAATATTATACTTCATAATATACTATGTTGTATAATGTACCGTGTTATCAAAATTATTCAACACTGGATTACTACAAGGTGAGTTTTGGACTGACATATAATATAAATCAAAGGATTTTAAAATATAATAAATATTTCGAAAATGTTATAAAAACTAATTCAAAATTATTGAAATGGTATTCAATAAACGCTGAGCAACTTTTGAATACCAACACTTTCCGTCGATATAATTCAGTTCTAGATCCTTTCTAGTTCAGTTCTAGTTTAGTTCAGTTCAGTTCAGTTCTAGTTCTAGTTCAGTTCTAGTTCAGTTCTAGTTCAGTTCTAGTTCAGTTCTAGTTCAGTTCTAGTTCAGTTCTAGTTCAGTTCTAGTTCAGTTCTAGTTCAGTTCTAGTTCAGTTCTAGTTCAGTTCTAGTTCAGTTCTAGTTCAGTTCTAGTTCAGTTCTAGTTCAGTTCTAGTTCAGTTCTAGTTCAGTTCTAGTTCAGTTCTAGTTCTGTTCCAGTTCAGTTGTAGTTCAGTTCTAGTTCAGTTCCAGTTCTGTTCTAGTTCAGTTGTAGTTCAGTTCTAGTTCAGTTCCAGTTCTGTTCTAGTTCATTTGTAGTTCAGTTGTAGTTCAGTTCTAGTTCAGTTCTAGTTCAGTTCTAGTTCAGTTCTAGTTCAGTTCTACTTCAGTTCTAGTTCAGTTCTAGTTCAGTTCTAGTTTAGTTGTAGTTCAGATCCAGTTCTGTTCTAGTTCAGTTGTAGTTCAGTTCTAGTTCAGTTCTAGTTCAGTTCTAGTTCAGTTCTAGTTCAGTTCTAGTTCAGTTGTAGTTCAGTTCTAGTTCAGTTCTAGTTCAGTTCTAGTTCAGTTCTAGTTCAGTTCTAGTTCAGTTCTAGTTCAGTTCTAGTTCAGTTCTAGTTCAGTTCTAGTTCAGTTCTAGTTCAGTTCTAGTTTAGTTGTAGTTCAGATCCAGTTCTGTTCTAGTTCAGTTGTAGTTCAGTTCTAGTTCAGTTCCAGTTCTGTTCTAGTTCAGTTGTAGTTCAGTTGTAGTTCAGATGTAGTTCAGTTGTAGTTCAGTTTTAGTTCAGTTCTAGTTCAGTTCTAGTTCAGTTCTAGTTCAGTTCTAGTTCAGTTCTAGTTCAGTTCTAGTTCAGTTCTAGTTCAGTTCTATTTCAGTTCTATTTCAGTTCTAGTTTTGTTCTAGTTTTGTTCTAGTTTAGTTCTAGTTCAGTTCTAGTTTAGTTCTAGTTTAGTTCTAGTTTAGTTCTAGTTCAGTTCTAGTTCAGTTCAGTTCAGTTCAGTTCAGTTCTAGTTCAGTTCTAGTTCAGTTCTAGTTCAGTTCTAGTTAAGTTCTAGTTTTGTTCTAGTTTTGTTCTAGTTTTGTTCTAGTTTAGTTTCTAGTTCAGTTCTATTTCAGTTCTAGTTCAGTTCTAGTTCTGTTCTAGTTCAGTTAGTCATTCTAGTTCAGTTCTAGTTCAGTTCTAGTTCAGTTCTAGTTCAGTTCTAGTTCAGTTCTAGTCTAGTTCAGTTCTAGTTCAGTTCTAGTTCAGTTCTAGTTCAGTTCTAGTTCAGTTCTAGTTCAGTTCTAGTTCAGTTCTAGTTCAGTTCTAGTTCAGTTCTAGTTCAGTTCTAGTTCAGTTCTAGTTCAGTTCTAGTTCAGTTAGTCAGTTAGTTCAGTTCTAGTTCAGTTCTAGTTCAGTTCTAGTTCAGTTCTAGTTCAGTTCTAGTTCAGTTCTAGTTCAGTTCTAGTTCAGTTCTAGTTCAGTTCTATTTCAGTTCTAGTTCGGTTCTAGTTCAGTTCTAGTTCAGTTCTAGTTCAGTTCTAGTTCAGTGCTAGTTCAGTTCTAGTTCAGTTCTAGTTCAGTTCTAGTTCAGTTCTAGTCCAGTTCTAGTCCAGTCTATACTATAGACTATTTATAGAATCTAGATCGTTCAGTCTAACATCTAGGCAGAGAAATTCATTTGAACAGAATAGAATAATCAATCGATTTCCCGTCATTATCTTTTGCGATTCCCTATAAAACCAAATTAAATCTTTTATTTTAGCACTAAAACTAAACAGAAATAGTTCTACAAATAAAAACAAAAGAAAAACGAACTGAAAAAAAACTTGAAAGGAGGAGCTCAAATTACAAGCAGAAAATTACAACAAACAGAGCATATCAGACAAACAAACACAAGGCGGCATTCAATGGATGCAAAGATGAATAAACAGACAGACAGATAGCCGGACAGACTGACACACTCATTCAGTAAAAATTATTGACAATGAGACAAACATTTAGATTTATGTATAGAGGAATACTACTCAATATCATCTTCGTCAACATCATTTTGTTGTGGAAAATGGGGGTTGCCCTGAGACAGTTGACAGTTGTTTGGTTATATGGAACACACAATTCAAACAACATTTGCCCTCTGTGAGGAGCTGTTTGAACAAGAATAAAAATGGAATTTTATTTGAAAGAACAAAGAAAAAAAAGCTGTTCATTTAAAAGCGTGAAGTCTGTTTAATGGGTTTTTCACCGGAATGAAAACAAAACAAACAATTTTAATAATAAAACAAATACTTAGAAAGGAATTTATCGAAAGAGGTGTGGGGCTGTGAGTTGGTTTAAGAGCACTGAAGAAGCCACCTGTATTTGTATAAATGTCGAGGAATTATTTTGTTTTGTATAGAAAATACATTCTAAAAATTGTATAGACTAGAACAGAATCAGAACAGAACTAGAACTGAGCTAGAACTGAGCTAGAACTGAACTAGAACTGAACTAGAACTGAACTAGAACTGAACTAGAACTGAACTAGAACTGAACTAGAACTGAACTAGAACAGAACTAGAACTGAACTAGAACTGAACTAGAACTGAACTAGAACTGAACTAGAACTGAACTAGAACAGAACTAGAACAGAACTAGAACAGAACTAGAACAGAACTAGAACAGAACTAGAACAGAGCTAGAACAGAACTAGAACAGAACTAGAACAGAACTAGAACAGAACTAGAGCTGAACTAGAACAGAACTAGAACAGAACTAGAACAGAACTAGAACTGAACTAGAACAGAACTAGAACAGAACTAGAACAGAACTAGAACAGAACTAGAACAGAACTAGAACAGAACTAGAACAGAACTAGAACAGAACTAGAACAGAACTAGAACAGAACTAGAACAGAACTAGAACAGAACTAGAACAGAACTAGAACAGAACTAAAACAGAACTAGAACAGAACTAGAGCAGAACTAGAACAGAACTAGAACAGAACTAGAACAGAACTAGAACAGAACTAGAACAGAACTAGAACAGAACTAGAACAGAACTAGAACAGAACTAGAACAGAACTAGAACAGAACTAGAACAGAACTAGAACAGAACTAGAACAGAACTAGAACAGAACTAGAACAGAACTAGAACAGAACTAGAACAGAACTAGAACAGAACTAGAACATAACTAGAACTAGAACAGAACTAGAACAGAACTAGAACTGAACTAGAACTGAACTAGAACTGAACTAGAACTGAACTAGAACTGAACTAGAACAGAACTAGAACTGAACTAGAACAGAACTAGAACTGAACTAGAACTGAACTAGAACTGAACTAGAACTGACCTAGAACAGAACTAGAACTGAACTATAACAGAACTAGAACAGAATTAGAACAAACTAGAACAAAACTAGAACTGAACTAGAACAGAACTAGAACAGAATTAGAACAGAACTAGAACAGAACTAGAACAGAATTAGAACAGAACTAGAACAGAACTAGAACAGAACTAGAACAGAACTAGAACAGAACTAGAACAGAACTAGAACAGAACTAGAACAGAACTAGAACAAAACTAGAACTGAACTATAACAGAACTAGAACAGAATTAGAACAGAACTGGAACAGAACTAGAACAGAACTAGAACAGAACTAGAACAGAACTAGAACAGAACTAGAACAGAACTAGAACAAAACTAGAACTGAACTATAACAGAACTAGAACAGAATTAGAACAGAACTGGAACAGAACTAGAACAGAACTGGAACAGAACTAGAACTGAACTACATAGTATTAATTTAGAACTAAATTACAGGTGAAATAGAACAGAACCACTAATATACTACAACTTTTTCTCTTTCGGCTGACATTCTTATCTATTTTTAGTTCTACGTACAAGTTAGTACCGGTTACTAGTGTTTTTTTAATAAATTTTTCAAACTATTTTTAAATTGTGTGTGAATTCTTTTGAAATTTATTTTGTTTTATAATTATTATTGCATTTTTAAGGTTTCTTTTCGTATTATTCAGTTATTAAGTTGATTCGTTTCATCTCTCTCTTTCTCTGGCTGCTCCACCACATGATTTCCTGTCACATTATATACACTTTAGTGGATTTCAAAGTAAAGAAATAATGATCAAGAAATACATAATTTTTTCTCTTTGTAATTTTAACACTTTTCTTGTTTAGATTGTTTCAAGTTCTTTCTTCAATCAAGTTTAAAAATGAAGAAAAAAAGCATTTGCCCTTTGTAAGCTTAAAGTACAAACAAAATGATAAAGTGCGGAATTTAAAAGGATTACCTAGAAGATATGTAGGAACCCCAACTTTCAGTATTTTAAAGAACTAGAACTAAAGTAGAAATATTAATTTTTAATAACTAAAATAATCTCTTAAGATTTTTTAATATCCTTTTCATAATCCCTTAATTTCCTTTAAATATTTGGCTCCTTTTTTAGAAAATCTTAAAAAAATTTCCTTTTCTTTAATACTTGACAAATTGACAGTAAACTGTCAACGTAAACTGATTTTATTGTTAAAGGAATTTTTAAGTTGAAAAAAGGTTCATTTCTATAACCATTCAATCTACAATCAGTTGAACGTAAAGTTGTCATTAGGAAATCAACAAGGTTTTGTTAAATGACAATATACTTCAAGACCAAGATATAAGCGCACAAAAAACCTGACCCACTGAATATTTCAACAAAAAGATTCTTATGAACAAGATTTTCAGAAGACAACAAAAACAAAATTCAACGAATTAAAACCACAAAAGCAAAATACCTAAAAGGAAAAGGATCAACAAAACTAACTGAATGTCTGTTCA